TCCTCCAGCTTCTCCTTTTTAAGTCCAGCTGAATGTAATTAGACACTGGGGGAGGCGGAGCCAGGGGCAGACCCAGGTGTACCTGCGCAGCAGAGAGAACAACAGAAAGAACAGAAAAAAGGGAGCACGTAACAGGGATAGGACGCAATAGAATAGCAAGTATTGTAATTCTAACTGGGCAAATGACATATATGCATGCACATAATCCTGTACCTGCTTGCTCTTTAATAAGACAGGTTTGTAAAAAAATTGCAATTTCAAAGATTGTATTCCCATATGCACAACAGCTATTATAGTTGCATAGTAAAAATACCCAGTGCCTCCTCTAAAAAAATAGCAACCATACAATATGAAGCATCAAAAGAAAAACCATGCTGCAAAGTAAAATATTGGCATTTGCAAAAACTAAAATATAACAGGCTCCATGCAAAATCTAATAACAAAAATGCACAAGAAAATGCTCGCAGTAAATAAAAATACTATTGCTTTACATATATCATCATTTGGTCTGAAACAGATGTTTTAGCATTAGGGCTTTCCTTTTTAGAGGCAGTCCAAAACCTTGGACAGCCCATGTCAAATCAATCAATCAATGTTTATTATTTATATAGACCCATATCACAAATGTTACATTTGTCTCAGTGGACTCCACAGTTTGTACAGAATATCAGTATGACAATACGACACCCTCTGTCCTTAGACCCTCACATCGTACAAGGAAAAACTTCCAGAGAAAACCCACAGTTTAAAGGGAAAAATGGGACAAACCTCAGGGAGAGCAACAGAGGAGGGATCCCTCTCCCAGGACGGCAGACGTGCCATGACTCCGGATCCCGGCGTATATAGACACCAAAAAGAAAGAAATTTGGGGAAGCTGGGTTAATCGGAACATGAGAGTACACAGGTATAGACAGAGAGAAGGAAGAAGTAAGATGTCCCCCGACAAACTAAGCCTATATCAGCAAAACTAGGGGCTGAATCTAATCAGCCCTAAGTATAAGCTTTATCAAAAAGGAAGGTCTTAAGCGCACTCTTAAAAACGGATAGGGTGTCTGCTACCCGAAAACAAACTGGAAGCTGATTCCACAAAAGTGGAGCTTGATAAGAAAAGGTTCTGGCTCCCATTGTACTTTTAGAGACTCTAGGAACAACCAACAACCCTGCATTCTTGGAACGCAATCCCCTAGTAGGACAGTAGGGTATAATGAGTTCTTTAAGGTAAGATGGCGCCTGCCCATTAAGGGCTTTGTAGGCGAGAAGAAGAATTTTAAATTCTATCCTGTGTTCTATAGGGAGCCAGTGTAAGGCAGCCAGAACAGGAGTAATGTGGTCCCTTATCCTAACTCTGGTTAGTACACGAGCTGCAGCTCTTTACTCCTTATAGAATAGAATATAATTGGAGGGATGAAAACCCCTCTTTAATGGAGGTGAACTGGGACCTCTCCAAGTAGCAGTCCACACTCCATATTTAGGTCTGTTCGGGGACTTAAACCGGCGGCCCTATGGCTCACAGTCCAAGCCCCTACTGACTTAGCCACTGTCGGACTACAAACTAAAGAGCCTACAAATGGAAACCAGACCACTTCCTATTCCTTTTGTCCTGCTGCCGTCAGATTCTGCAGTCACATGCAGATATCAACTGTTCATAGTCATCATCACTACAAACATGTTAAAAAAAAAAAGAAGCTAGTTGTAACTCTTTAAAAAAACAAATGTATGTGCGTTTGCTTGTAGGACCTCAACAAGCGACTGTCACTGCCGGCTGACATCCGAATCCCCGACGGCTATCTGGAGAAGATGCAGCTCAGCAGCCCGCCCTTCGACCAGCCGCTCAGTCGACGCTCCCGCAGAGCCTCGCTGGTCAGTGTGTGTGTGAATCTCTCCCCGTGTACAGGTCACCATGGCAACAAGTTGTGTGTGATGGATGAATCTCAAGTCACAAGTGCTGACCTCTTGTCTTTGGCCCATCAAAGTAGTTTAACACACTCAGCTGTGGTGTGATCAGGCAGTCATGTTGCACACTGTCAGCAACATGGAGGCTTACAATCCACTATAGAATAGGCTCAGATTGAGGCCCACAGAACCCAGAATGGGACTTTTAACCTAATCTCTGTCTTGTGTCTTTTCCTCAGTCAGAGATTGGTTTCGGCAAGTTGGAAACGTACATAAAGCTGGACAAACTGGGAGAGGTGAGGAATTCTTTAAATCCCATCTGATGCTTTGAAATAACAAAATATGTTTCGCAGCCCACAATGATCAATGATTCAGGGATGATTGAGAAATATGTGTTGCATTCAGGGAACATACGCGACGGTATTTAAAGGACGCAGTAAGCTGACGGACAACCTGGTGGCGCTGAAGGAGATCCGGCTGGAGCACGAGGAGGGAGCGCCATGCACCGCCATCAGAGAAGGTGAGCAACAACTGTCCAAATGTACAGCTTTTACCAACTAAATGTATGATATGTTTGTCCTTATAATGATCACAGACTGGAAGTGGACATTCAATTCATCCCACGCAATCAATTTAAAGCCAGAAAAAGCAATCAATAACAATGTTCTATTTGTTTTCTCTGTAGTGTCGTTACTGAAGGACCTCAAACACGCCAACATCGTGACACTTCATGACATCATCCACACTGAGAAGAGCCTCACTCTCGTCTTCGAATATCTGGTAACACTAACAGTGTGATTTGTTTTCACTTTTGCCCAACCTCACATATTCCTATTGAGTACCAAACATCATTACAAATGTTAAGGTCTTTCATTGATGTACTTTACAGGGGTTGAAAAAAAGTCTACATATAGGATATATATAAGTATTAGGAAATGATCTGAAGTGAAACAGAAAGAGAATGTTCAAATGAGCAGAAACAAGAGAAATGTGCTGCATTAGCATTGGAATTTGCGAGGACATGTCAGCACGTTTTCTTTGAAGGATCTACTTCAGACAGCTTCTTCGTTCGCAGTGGAGTCAAACAAGGCTGCGTGTTAGCGCCCATGCTCTTCGGCATCTTCCTCTCTGTTGTGCTGCATCATGCATTCAGCGATCACGTGGACGAAGACGGCGTTTTCCTGCACACGCGGTCAGATGGGAAGCTGTTTAATCTTGCCCGACTGCGCGCGAAAAGAAAGGTACGGAAGGTGCTAGTTCGTGAGCTCTTATTCGCGGATGACGCAGCTCTGGTGTCTCACAGTGCAGCTGGTCTACATCGCCTGATGGACAGATTCAGTGCAGCATGCTCTGAATTTGCACTGATCATCAACATCAAAAAGACAGTTGTTATGCACCAAGCAGGAAGCGCAGCGTCACCGGTAATGGTGAACGAGCATGTGCTGGAGACTGCTGACCAGTTCACGTATCTTGGCTCAACAATCAGCAGTGACCTGTCATTAGTTAAGGAGATCCAGACTCGTATCGGCAAAGCCGCAACGTCTTTCAGTCGTTTGCGCTCAAGAGCCTGGAGCAACAAATACCTCACCGAGCGCACTAAGACACGCATCTACCAATGTTGCGTGGTCAGCGTCCTGCTGTATGGTTCCGAGGCGTGGTCAACTTACGCGCGGCACGAAAGAGAGCTAAATGCTTTTCACATGCGGTGCCTGCGCAACATCCTCGGGATCACATGGCGGGACAAGGTCACGAACGAGGCGGTGCTGGCGCGTACGGGCAGCAAGTCAATGTTCCAAACACTGAAGGTCAGGAGGCTGCGGTGGCTTGGTCACCTTNGTCACCACGACCGGAGTGACCATGTATTATTGTGCCCCAGTGTGAACCTTAGAAGAGGTTAGGATGGGCGGAAGTACGCACTTCCTTTACTTCGTGAGACGTACTCGGTGTTGTGACAGACCGGTCCTTGTGAACTTTAAGTTGTCTTACACGTCTCAAGTTTAGTGCGCCAGTTGGAAAGGTAACTTCGTGTGGGGACTGGATACCTCTTTTTGGGAAGGTCAATAACAAACCCGGTCTATCGTTTGTTAAACGGTAAGGGCCGAGACAGAGAGTCCTGATCGACGTCTCTGCTAAACCCAACATCCCGTTAACCTCACCGGCATCTCCAAGTCTCTCACTCTACATTAGAAGTCACCTCTTCTATAGTCGCCTCCCTCAAACTTGGAAACCGCATGGTGAAGCCAGAGACTCAGGACCTTAGTCTGCCCGGAATTTTCGTCGAGTGGTGTAGACGACCGGGGACTAATTCTCCTTAATTCGGAAGTGTGGGAATATATAACAGAAGAGTGGCGTCCTGATGAGGACCGGAAGTTAATGGGTGTTTTGGGACAATCCACTTTGATGTCACTAGTGACTGGTGGTTGGGCTGCCTGACTTAGTACTAACCGGACTTCCCTTCCACTTTGTTTTACTAACGGTTTAATCTCGAAAAAGTCTAAAATGTTTCTTCGAAGGCAGAGTCACCTGGAAAAAGACCTTAAGAGGTAAAAGAACCATGAGCTGGTACTACGCAAAATCTTCAATGACACAGGGACATTATGAAAATTGATCTCCAAACTTCTACCATGAGCTTAGAACAAGAAGTCAATTTACAAACAAAAAAACAAAATGGTCTCACATCCTAGAGATAAAGTCATTTTTAAGGACTTAGAATATATACAAATGGTATCATTTGCAATATTTTCATAATCATAGTGTATATCAATTACTCATGGTCTTTTATTTTCAGTCAGAACACGACATACCCAGGTAAAGGCTTATAATGTCATATACTATACAAAATTATAACTAAGTACCTTTCACAAAGTTTCGAACCATTTCCTACGTCGAAACTACCATATGACCGTCAACCCAGAAACTAATGAGTCCACCCTTGCAACAGATACTAGCTATACAAATAAACAAGTAGGTTTAGACACTTCAAATATACATAATGTAATCAAAGTAAACAAATTAACAAGTTTGTGAAAGTCGCTGAAAAGGTATGAGGAGCAAGAGAGAAATTCATGTTAGGGATTGATCCATTCGTTCCCCTTCACCAGAACGGGGTCACTGTGTATGGCTAGATAACGCTCCGGACTCGGTAGTCAAAAAGGAGGGAAATAGAAATGTACATCACCTCTTTTCATAGTGGAAAATGGGAAGACTATAACAATCCACCCCTATCTTCTTATCATGTCATCAACACCGCCTAATCATGTCGGTGGATAACATGAAATTACTTGATCATGAACACAAAAAATGAAAATGTTTGACAAATGTGAGTTTTAACATGTTTGTACGTCCGACTAGACAGACAATTGATGTACTTCAAAAAAGAGAAAGAGAATTGTACAGTTTTTCCTCGGAAAAAAAAACTTCTAATGTTAGTTAGATATCTCAACGTCAGGAGTAAAGGGTAGAGGACGACGGAAAGAATAATGACTCCTATGTACAAACTCTACAAGTACGAATTACCTGACAACAATGGTCACGGAGTCTGGCATGAAAGTATCAACAGACACACATGGAATGAGTCTCAAAAGGGGGTCTGAGTATTCTAAACGACGGAGATAATAGTCTGTCGCGGACGAAAAATAAAGTAATTATAGTGTCCTCCCGAACTGCATGAGGAACTTTTCGCTGCCGGCGAGATTGAGGAACAAGGAGGACAGAAAGAGGGTGAAGAGATAGAGTCAATAGGGGGTCTAGGAATATCAGAGTCTATAGAACCAGGGGTCAAATAATGAGTTAATACTTGTTACTTACCTTGTGATTACGAGTAAAAATTGGCGTAAATATAACAAATCCTTAATCGGGACTGGTCAGGATGGTCCGCTCTACTCTGTCCTTTTCACATAGATGCTAAGTACCAAGACAATTGACACAGAGAAAGAACAATTCTATTCACACAACCCCTGAAGTACTGGAACGTCCGGTAAAAAAGTTTTAGTACGGAATTGTCCTAAATTTCTGTGTGAGTACTCAACGAGACGCAGTGGGAACTTTTTCTCTAGAAAACTAGAGTTCCCCGAAAAGTGAGACCAAATTTAATTTCCGGATGTTTTTGTTTGTTTTGTATAGGAAGTATATTTTTAATATATTATCCACAAATAGGAATACAACCGTTAATGTCGACTAAAACTTTTCATCCGGTCACTTCTTCACGGAGGTTGGACGGTAAGACGTATTATAGGTCGTCCCCGCTAAGGTGTACAGTGGAATTTTTCCCCCGGGCTAAATATATCTTCAGAATACTTTTTTACTAGTGCTGATGAGTGAAACTAAATATATAAAGTAAAGTATTCGGGAATAGTCTTAGTATAAATAAATTATTACCTTAACCATTAATAATATTTCCATAAGTGACGACAGACCTATACAGATTGGATCATATAGTATCAAAATAAAAAAAATTCTTAAAAACTTGATAATAAACGATAATCGAATATTAGTCTTATGAACGATTTTCATGAATTTGAGAGTCTATCAACCTCATTTTTTCATGTCTGTGACCCGAAGGTATTAATCAACACTCAATGTTATATTTATGAGTTGACTCATGTTCATTATAGTTCGTGACCATGAACTACACTTACAAGGAAATAATGGAAGGTGGTGACCGGACCCGGGGAAGAAAGAAGACAGACTTTCAGTTTCATTTCCTGTCTCGTGTAGTGTGTAGAGGACAGTCGAGATAGGTGTGAGTCAGAGCTGTGGTCCACCAGGTGTGAGAACAAGACCAATGTCCGCAACCCGGTAGTATATTTACATCGTCGACAGTCGGTATAGTGACAGGCACAATTTATCGAACGTTCTGTTCATGAGGAGTCCTACGTACAGTGTATATGACATGTTTCACTACGGAACATTAACATTATAAGACCGTAAACACAGATTTACAGTCTCCTTTCTACTTTCTCTTCACAATTTCTCTGACGGACCACAGAAATGTCATGTGGGTTGGACGACTTCGTCTACACTTGTGGTGAAGACTGAATTGTCAATCGTGGGTTCGATTTCAGGTATAGAGTTTGGTCTCCACCTTTCAAGATCGATGTGCAACTAAGTCTAATTTATATAATACCAGTTGTTAGAGTGTATTGACATATACAATCAACCTCGTTATATTCCGAAGTTGAATTCATACATACATGTAAAACTGTTATCCGACCAACAGTCCTAAACTTTCCGACTAAACACTACTAACTATATGAAAAGTTGTAAACGAGTTGACCAAAAGTTTTCTTGATAAAACCTTCGTAGACTGTGGAAGAGAGCGGACAATTAAACAACTTCACACATAAAACTGGATACACATACATTCATATAACGTCCTCACTTCTTATTGTAACTTAAAGAGGGAGACCCAACTAACTTTTTATACAAAAAAGGAAAAAGAAAAAACGGTAATTTAGATGTGATGTTGTGAAAGATATACCATAATCTAAGATAAAATAGGTAAACAAGTTAAGGTGATACTCGAAGGACCAAAGTGTTGACCGTAGAAAGTACGTTATTTGTCCACCGATTACCTTTATTTTATTTGTATACAGTTAATTATTTTGAATGAACAACGAAAGGGAGGTAAAAAAGTCGTATAACGAAAGTTGAGGTACTGTCTCCCAATGGTGTTAGATTGATTTCCCTTTTCCCAGAGACAAACATACCTATGGACGATGAAGTTCACACGAGTTGGTGGCAAATAGGCTAGCTTGAGTTAGAAAAGCCCGCAAAGGACTCCTGGGGTCCTTCGACGTCACAGCTCACACTGTAAAAGGTCTACTCATTCAATGTTCGGTCTTTATAGTCTCCGGTCCGTTAGACGGTTGTCGGGGTCGGTGTTTGATTTTTGTATTACTTTCATGAAGACTCACTCCCGGACTGTCTTGGTGTTGTTTATGATGTAGCAGATTTTAGGGAAGGGACGATAAAGCTACTTTGAGTCGCATTATAAGAAAGTCCTTCTGTCGCTTCTGAGGCGGTCGACGTTAGTCGAGTAGTACCCGCAGTAAGAAATCTTTGGTTAATGTAAGGGATGTTATAGGTTTGTAGGTTAGTAGCGGCGACGTAGTTTGAAATTTAATCAAAGGAGAGAGGACGTTAAGAGGGGGGGGGCGGGGGGGGGGGGGGGGGGGGGGGGGGGGGGGGGGGGGGGGGGGGCCGGGGGACGACACAAAAGTCCACAGTAACCGACGCTTGGGGAGGGAGGGTCGCGCTGCAGTACAGAAAGTAATAGGTCACGGTCCTCTCGAGTAGTATCTGGTAGCTGTTTAGCGTCGTCTAGAAGTCCGTAGAGAAGTAGGGTAGAGGAAATATTTAGTCTAGAAGTCGTAGTGGTGTCACAGATCTGGGGCCACGCCAAAGGGATGAATAAGACGACGTGAAGGAGGAATTTCCAGAGCGATGATATCCAGATGATAAAAATCCGTATATCCAGAGGTATATATTTTTTGTACAGATACTTCACAAACCAGTTTTATGGTTGTCTAGTGGGTTAATCATGGGTACGGAGTATAGGGAGATAAAGTTTGGGACAATCCCTTCACGACTAATACACGCAGATTTGGAATTTTTTATTTTATTACTTTTAACCCTTTTTTTCCATTTCCCTCGAAAACGGACGAGTACGACACTATTAAGATACTCGTCTAAAGTCGGCATTTAAGACGGTACTAATTTGCCGTATTATACAAGTTTTGGTGAATTTCGTAATAAAAGACTTTGCATACTCTCGAGTTTACTGGAAAAGAGAGCGCCCAAATGGTTTTCCACTCAAAAAGGGGAGGAAAAAAATAAAGAGAAAAACGTGTAGAGAGAGGTCATTGTCCATCGAGACTCACAATCGCTCCGAACAATTACATTGTGGCGGTATAACTGAAGGTTTTGTGTACGAGTAACAAAGAACTAATCGCCCAAAGACTTCAACGGCAACCACATTTCGGTCGGGTGTAAAGTCTATAATGCAAGTATAGCCTTGCCTTTAGATACCGAGTCTTGTCGAGAGTATTATGTGTGTACGTGTGTCTTCCTAAGTGTGAACATAATAGACCTAGGTGTGACACTTTTTTATTTATTTTAGGTTTGTGTCTTTTTTCAATTTGACACAAAAAACTAGGGTGTTATAATACAAAAGGCAAATTTAGGGGACTTGGACGTTTGTCGTTTGGCGAAAGACACACTACCTAGCGACACATAAGCACACACCCAAAAAACTCTGAGGGGACTGCCAGTCGGCTAAGCATTGAACATTAAAAAAGAGATATCGGTAGTCTACAGAGGAGTTAAGATTCGGTTAGTGTACTCGCGCGGGGGTGCTCCCATCTACGAACGCAAGTACCTGCATCACGAAGTACATTGTGAACGTGAAGGCCTCGACTGTCCAGGTTACCGTCCGGACGGACGTCCCGCGATTAGAGTCCTGTGGAGGTGAGAGTCTGTAACGGGGAAAGGCTGTCTTTACGTGCCGTTATGTTTCGGAAAAATAATAATCCAATGTCGCGGTGAAACCGGTCTTGGTAACTTTACCGAACACACATGTTGTTATTTTGCCGTCCGTTTTGGCAAATTTACAACAAAGGACACTACCGCTTAGTCCACGAAATAATAAGGACATACTTCAACAACACTCACACCTCCCCGCGATGTCCAATTGCATCGGATTAGCTGAGTCACGTGATGCGTCGGTCACCATCTGCACTTGACAGTTGCCCCCCCTTCGGGCGGTCAGCTAATAGCGGCTATCAAGTGAGAATTATCAAACTAGCACGAGAGATATATTTCCGGCTAGTCCTCTCGACCTAGATAGCTATACCTGTAATTTGCGTCCTCACTTCAATTGGCCCTGTCGCCTTCATCTCTAGTGTACAACATGCAGTCAGTTATTCATTTATTTTGGGCAATTCTATGCAAAAACATATTTTTTTATAGGATCTCAAACCATAATATGTTCACATAATTATTGAAATGCTGCTTCTCATTTTTTAGCCTTGGATGAGTAGTAATTTGTCTTTATTCTTATTGTTGTATTACCTAATGTGTGTCGTTTTTCTTCTATATTTAACTAATGTTAGCTACTTTTTTATTGCTCACCTTTTATCTGCTTTGTCACTTAGCTAAAATACCTCACCCGAGCGCACTAAGACACGCATCTACCAATGTTGCATGGTCAGCGTCCTGCTGTATGGTTCCGAGGCGTGGTCAACTTACGCGCGGCACGAAAGAGAGCTAAATACTTTTCACATGCGGTGCCTGCGCAACATCCTCGGGATCACATGGCGGGACAAGGTCACGAACGAGGCGGTGCTGGCGCGTACGGGCAGCAAGTCAATGTTCCAAACACTGAAGGTCAGGAGGCTGCGGTGGCTCGGTCACCTTCGCAGTATGCCAGATGGCCGCCTGCCAAAGGACATTTTATACAGCGAGCTGAGCGCTGGTTCCAGAGGCAGAGGACGACCACTGCTGCGCTTCAAGGATGTCGTAAAACGTGACATAAAGGCCCTGGACATTGCGACGGATAACTGGGAGAGGCTGGCGGAGGACCGGACGAAGTGGCACCAGCAGCTGCGCGAAGGTGGTGACAGACTTGACAAAGACTGGATTCGTGGACTTGCTCAAAAACGTGGACATACTGTATCTCTCTGATTGCACTGTACAATCTCTTGTAGATTTTTCTTGCCAATAAAAAGTCAGAAAGGCAAAGTATTCTCAGAAAGAAGAAGATCTCTATCTGTCACTTTGTCTTCTTCCTGTCTCATGGTGTCATCTCTCCTTGTAGGATAAGGACCTGAAGCAGTACATGGACGACTGTGGAAACATAATGAGCATGCACAATGTGAAGGTGAGGACTTATCTTAATTAAGATGGGACTGCATTGTGTTTTTAGAAGATGTAATATTTAAAACAAAGTCACTACAGTTAATGAGTTTTTGAGCAGCCCTTTTCAAATGAAATTGCAATTATCCAGTCTATCATAAGAAAGTATATTCACATCAAGTTTGACACATGTCTTTCCAGATCTTCCTGTTCCAGATTTTGCGAGGGCTTTCTTATTGTCACAAGAGGAAAGTTCTCCACAGGGACCTGAAGCCCCAGAACCTGCTCATCAACGAGAAAGGAGAACTCAAACTGGCTGATTTCGGTAAGAGGAACCAGAGCCGAGGCTGATATTTGCTTTAGGGCAGTCAGAAAAGTATATTTTTATCCTGCGCAACAGTTTGATTATTCCCAGCTCGGCTTTTCACAGAGGTAATGTTCGTCTCTTGTGATTATAATCCTAATATCTATCTGTTTATGTCTATGGCAGGTCTGGCGAGGGCCAAGTCTGTGCCGACTAAAACCTACTCCAACGAGGTGGTGACTCTCTGGTACCGGCCTCCTGATGTTCTCCTGGGATCCTCCGAGTATTCAACACAGATCGACATGTGGTACGAGCCTTACTAATGCTTAGTAAAGGCATGGCATGTCCATTGATCACTGTGTTAATAAACCAAATAATAGTAATTTGCTGTAGCCCTTGAAGTGTAAAGCTAAATGATATACCTGTAAACATTTAGGAAAGAGATTGGAACTGGAAAGAGTGAATTTGAATGAGTCTTAATGCATAAAAAACTAAATACACACATCCTCTATGAAGTCAAAGAGATTACATCATTTCCTTTCATGGTACTTTGGCCCTGCTTTCCGACGTGTCAGGGGGGCGTGCTTTCTAGCATGTGTCATCCATTAAAATAATATTATGTATGTGTGTGTGCAGGGGTGTTGGTTGTATATTCTATGAGATGGCAGCAGGTCGGCCCCTGTTCCCCGGCTCCACAGTAGAGGACGAGCTCCACCTCATCTTCAGGTTACTCGGTAAGCATCTCCTGCCAGGCCAAGATCACAGTACCAACCTAAAAAACAATTTCAAGACACATGTCATTACCCGTTTACTAAACTGCCTCTGTGACTCCAGGTACACCCACAGAGGACAACTGGCCGGGAATCACCTCCATCGATGAGTTTAAATCCCACAGCTTCCCCAAATACAAACCACAGCCGCTGATCAACAACGCTCCCAGGTACTGCTGTCTGTGTGTGGGCATGCACCTGCATTAACATGTTTTTTTAATGGGCTCAGGAAATCATCATTTCATAGTCGGGCCATCCTCTCCCTTTCTCCCTTTCTCCCATTCGCCCCTACATCCTGTCAGACAGCTAACTGTTGCTCTTCCTTTTCTTTCCTCCAGGCTGGACAGCGAAGGCATCGAGCTGCTGCTGTCATTTCTCAGAGTGAGTTCTTACATTTCATTTTCTAATCACATATACAGTAAAAGACTCCAAAGCAGGAGCTAAAACCACACTAGTTGCTGTCAATAAATCAAGTTGTCATAAAGCATCAAATCACTAATTGAAACCAAACTTAACATTAAAAAGCATTGCCATCAATCAGTCTGTTCTACATAAAGTGTAGGGGGGCGTGAGTTATGAACTATACTACAGCCAACCACCGGGGGGCAATAGAAATGTGTTGCTTAACATTCGGGGATTTTTCATTGCCAATCCTTATATAAAGTCTATGTTTAGACTTGACCTAAAAGTGAACTTTCGGTCATGCAATACAAAAATGTGACAAAGGATAAATAATCACAAGAAAACAAATACTTTTAAAAAGTACAACTGATTAACATTATACTCCAAATAGCACTATCAGTGCATTCTTTGTGGACATACAGTGGGTCCCTGTTGCTAAACTGTTTTAGTTCCTCTTTGTTTATCTGAGTGAATCATTGTTTCTACACACACAGAATTAGCTTGAATGAAAATGGGTGGTTTCTGTTTCCACAGTTTGAATCTAAGAAGAGGATTTCAGCTGAGGAGGCCATGAAACATTCCAACTTCCGGCAGCTCGGGATGAGAATTCAAACACTGCCTGAGAGTGAGCAAACAGTCAATACCTGTCTGAGGCTACTTATCTTCATTGTTTTCCTTTCCTGCTATTAACTGTTCTCCTCTTTGTTTTAGATGTATCAATATTCACTTTAAAAGAAATGGAGCTGCAGAGGGATCCTGGCTACAGGAGCTCCTCATACCCAGAGTCAGGTGGGTGGAGAAAACATTATCAAAGTTAAACCATAAGGAAAGAAAAAAAACATTTGTACTAAATATGATCACGTGGCAATCCTCAAAATACTGGTAAGATGAGACTGATAAAGGTTGATACAAGATGGCGCTGTTGATTGCTGCTATCTCTTGAGCTCCAATTTTGTATTTACATTGTTTTAATTGTCATAATCCGACAGCAATAATGAACTTGTTACATCTGTGGTGCCTCTTTAAACTGTCTGATGTCTGGCTACTTTTAGCATATTTAACGTAAAGCTAAGGCATTATGGGTATTGTAGTTTAATAGTTTTCCCTTTTCTTTTAGGCAACAGCAAGATCAACAGGAGGCAGAGCATGCTCTTCTAATGTCAGATGAAGAGGATGTCAAACTTCATGATCCCTTCCCAACGACCTCATGCATGAGCCCACCTCCCCTCGGGTGACCCCTCCTCCCTCTTACCTACACACACACACACAGAAACACACACACACACACACACACTGAGACTGACCGAAGGACACGAACNATCCCTTCCCAACGACCTCATGCATGAGCCCACCTCCCCTCGGGTGACCCCTCCTCCCTCTTACCTGCACACACAAACACACACACGCACACACACACACACACACACACACACACACACACACACACACACACACCCCCAGAGCGAGTGACTCTGGGCTGTATCTGTTTGGAGACTGTGTTTATTTATTAGGAGGGAGTGAGGTTGAGTCTTTTGCTGCTAAACTACTACTGTCTGTATTTAACACACCGTGTGTGTGCATGTGTGTGTGTACATGATGTAAACTCGAGACGCCATGCACAGTTGAGCAGTCAGAAAGGTTACTTTTGTTCTCTTCTGACTAATATTCTCCGGCTTCGTTTGAGTTAAAATCCCACTGATGTTGACGTTGACGCTGTGATCCAAGTTGTTGTTCCTGTTCAGTCTCTTCAGATATTTTTATTTATAAATATGTATATATATTGGACTGTTTTTTTTTTCTTCGAGCTTCCGTGACTGAAATCTACAACATTTCAAAGTTTAAAAGACTTGGCGGGGGATAAAATGCATCTTCTGGATTATTTCTTGCCGTTTTCTCAAAAACATTTCAGTTGACTATTCTTTTGAAAGCTCCGCAGCCCCCTGGGTTTACACTGAGTCAAAAAGCAGACTGTGAGCGGATCACAGTAACACTTTTAATCTGAGGGTTAAACAAGCACACACACCGACAAACTCGAAGAACAAGAAACCAACTTTTTTTGACCATTCTGGCTCAGCAACGGAAGCTAAACTAAGGAGTAGAGGTCAGTATCAGGTGGGAAGACAAGCCAAAAGGATGGATGCAAGAGGACGAATACTGGCACTGAAAAGGAAGCCCTGTGACGTCCCACAGATGAAAAACCCTCACAGAACTGCCAACTTCTGTGCTTTTAAAAAAATGCAAGCAACACTTTGTCCCTCGGCGTACATTTGTAGAACTCTCTGCAGTAACTCTTTGTGTTTAACTTGGACTTCAGTGTGTTTTTTTTTTTTTACTTCAGGGACTTGTGCCTTGACACAGCCGAGTTTACCCAACAGTATTAAGTTGTATTTTGTGTGTGTGAACTTTGACCTCTTCTTGTGAAACTACAGAGTCGTTGTGGCATGTTTTTTTCGCAGGGGGTTTGGGGTTTCGGTCTGCAAACTAAATGGTTGTTTTCCACTTGACGTCGGACCATTGCTCTCTCCAGAATTTGTAGCATACTAAAGAAAAAAAATATTTAAAATTGAAATGTTTAGATTTAACTGGGTTGAAAGCTGACAGTGAAGCAGGTTGAGAAGTCTCTCTATTCATTGTATTTTTCACTGAAGTGTCTGTTTTGCTCTGCATTCCTGGTTTTTATTTAATTGCAGGGAATATGTCTTATTCCTGCGGACTAATGGAGTTATTGTCACTTCATAGTAGTTAGTCGTTTTTCAGGAGCTATTTGATACGTAAATTATTTGATATTTTGTGGTAATAGACTTATTTGCTTTCTTTTAAGAATAAGGTCTGAAGATAAAATAGTTGGAAGCCTACAACAAATATAAAGCTAGCAACGTTAGCCTGTTAGCTTAGTTTAGCACAAAGAATAAAACCAGGGCTAGTCCATTTTATTTTTTTTAAACAAACCAATTAAACAAGGTATTAGTGTAGTTTAAGAGGTTGTGTCAGAATGTGTTACTTCAAGAAAGGTAAGCTCGTTCCCCGTCTCTAAGTTTTTATGCTAAGCTAACCTAGCTTAGCTCGCCCCGGCTACATATTTATTGTTGCTACAGACAAAAGTGTTTTTGTTTTTTATATTTTCATCACATTTTTGCTAAGAAAGCAAACTCGTCTAATTCCTAAAAATGTTAAACTATTCCTCAGAATATGTGTGGTTGGCATGAAATCCACTGCAGTAAATAACATCAGGAATGCATGAACAACACAGGTAAAACGTGAAAGTTAGAGGAGATTTAAGTGAGATTTGTGTAACTGTTGTATCTTGGGCTCAACATCAACATGAAAATTATGCATAGGCCTACTGTCGGTTGAGCAGTAAAGGATCTAATTAGGTAGAACATGCTAGAAAAGTGCTGGACGTATTAATACAATTGGTTTAACTTTGTTATTAACTGAGAGCATTAATGTGTTGGACGTTATCACAGTTTGCAGCTAATAATATAATAATCCTGTAAACATGCTATTTTTCTTCATTTCAAGGCGGAAATTATGAGCTACTAATTTGATCAATTAAAACCCAAAACAACCGAACAATTGAAGATAGAAGACACCATTTAAGGTTTGGATAACTATTGTAAATTATTGTGTTAACAGGAAAAGTCTGACATTAATGTATTAAATTGACCCTTTGCCCCATGAATGGAGAAATTATAGGTCACTTTTCTTCCCCTCATATTGCATTTCACATAAAATGTATGTACTCTTTATTCATGCTTGATAAGTTATGACTAACACAACCATAACTAAGAAAAACTTCAGGATAAATTATGTTTAACTGCAAACTGTGTTTTTATTATCAGTTTATACGTGAACGACAGTGACGTGCACGAAAGGAGATTTCTACAATGGCTTAATATTTATCATTGTAAAACTGTAAACTTTTTTCAAATGTATGAATGACCTGAATTTATGTGAACATGTTTGAATGTGCACGTATGTGTGTGTGCTCGATGCATGGAATTCTACTTCTGTAACACTGAGCCACCGTGAACAGTTTGTGTGTGACCCCTTTTTACTGGAACTATTTATTTCTCATAACCATCGAAAGTAAATTTAATCTGTTTCATAAACGGTCTGAAGTAGTTGTTATTTAAGTGGTGGAAGGTAAAGTATACAAGAAGGCATACACAGTCTCTTTTCATTTTTCATATTTATCTTTAATTATCATTCCAATACACATATTTTTACAACATTGGCCATCTGGACAAACACTGGCAAATCCCAGCAGAACGTGGTTTCCACAGCTAAACAAATGTCCAAGAAGCAAGATAACCCATAATGTGTCAGCTACAGGCTTTGGTCCTGGTATGTCTTACCATGTTCACTGTGAAGCGTAGAACTGTCTGTGCTACTGGTGAAAGTCATGAATGTCAGGGAACAAGTTGTGGTAGTAAAACAAATCGGAAAGGCAAGTCTTTCGCTCAGGTCATGCTGAGATAGTCATTGTCATTTGCAAACTGACCCAATGTCTCCTGGGTTGGGTTTTTATGATATTATGTATTCTGAAACCTGCATATACAGTGGGGCAAAAAAGTATTTAGTCAGCCACCAATTGTGCAAGTTCTCCCACTTAAAAAGATGAGAGGCCTGTAATTTTCATCCTAGGTATACCTCAACTATGGGAGACAAAATGAGAAAAAAAAATCCAGAAAATCACATTTTCATCCAAATTATGGTGGAAAATAATCTCGATACTTTGTTATATACCCTTTTGTTGGCAATGACAGAGGTCAAACGTTTTCTGTAAGTCTTCACAAGGTTTTCACACACTGTTGCTGGTATTTTGGCCCATTCCTCCATGCAGAGAAGAAAATTACAGGCCTCTCATCTTTTTAAGTGGGAGAACTTGCACAATTGGTGGCTGACTAAATACTTTGTTTCCCTACTGTATCAGTGTCACTGTCAGCCAATAATAGTGTCGTTACTGCTTTTTGTCACTTCATTTAAAATGAAATGTTTTATGGAGAACCAGCAGCATGACCTGTATGGCGCACAGCCAGGTTCCATAAAGAAAAAATATATATATTTATTTTCCATTAGGGTGACGATTTTCCTCGATCGACACAATTCATATATCTGTATGGTAGCAGAAACATAGCACAAAAAAAAAAATACCATTTACTTTCCCATTGACTGAACTGCATATACTTCAAATAATTCCATTTCCCTTATATCTCCCACTTTGATTCATTATTAAATTGGTAGATTTTCTTATAATAAAGCTGAAAAAGTCAGATATCAGATTATTTAGAAGATATTCATCAATTGGCAACAGAGCAGTTGAGGTATGAAATATTGAAAATGTCTTTGAACCTATAAAGGACAGTTAAAGGCAGAGGCACTTATTGTTGTATCACAGCAGCTTTCAACATTTCTAAAGCAAATGTTTTGTTTGTAGAAAAAAAACTAACTTTTAGGTGATGATTTGTAATCATCCTAATACTACCAGGTTAGTTCTGTCATACTACCACCAGGTGGCTCTAAAGTCACACTCATTCATAGTGGCTTATTTGACTGTGACAGCAGATACAAGCTTTCTCTCTAAGTGCAGTCGACTGAACTTCAAACTGTGATGTCATCGGTGCACCAGTTTCCTCCTGCCGCTGACCCGTGTCCACAGGCTGCGGGCCGTCTGAGCGATGGTCCCCCCTCGGGGAAGGCGGAGGCTCCGAAGCGGCTCCCTGATGCACGCCAGCACTCCAGGCTCCGAATCTTGCCCCAGGTACTCATGTGAAACGTAGTTTATCCTCCTAAGCTGTTTGCTGTAGTAGTTCCTCAGATCACAGAGCTCTTCAGCTGCGGTGTCAGAGATGAAGGAGGCATGGGATGGAGAGCCGGGGACAGGTTTGGTGGCAGTGTCTCCAGCTGGGGATGGAGAATCTTCAGCTGCTACATTTTGGCGGGGTTTCCTCCTCAATCTCCGAGGGGTGGTGGATTTGCATTTGGAGGGTTTAACTGGAGTTTTCTGACAGTCACTGTTAACGACAATATTTATTTCAACCTCAATTTCATGTTGAGGCATGATGGACATGTCCTTTTCTTCCTCTCGCAGGTCATGTTTCCTGGTCAGGTTGCTCTGTTCTTTAAATAGTTTCTGTTTGGGTGGGGTGGTACAGCTGTTGCCCACAACAATGGGGTCAAAGATCACATCCATCTCCTCGTTGGCTGATATGTCCTGTAAACAATATGGAACACTAAGGTCAGTGTACAACAGTGGCCAGTGCAGTCACCATAATATTCATTATTTAATGTCCTTTTAGAGTTATATTCAATTAATACAAGTATTGTACCATCAAACAAGAGGAATATATATCATGTAATTTAGCTCACCTCTCCATTTAGTCAGTGAAAATATAATATTATGTTAGACCCCCGTGCGATGAAATGTTAGTGGATGCTACATTCCAGGTATGGACATTAACACCGGAGATTATGGGTAATAGGCTTGGGCGACGTATACATTCTACAACTGTCCGAGTAAGATATAGAATAGAAAGCTTTTATTATTGCCTAGTGGGTCATAGGGCTTTCACACAATTCTAAATACTATTTGCAAATCAAAATAAGATAGTATTTATATAAGATAGAAGACCTGCTCAATCACATTTTGGGGGTTGAGGTCCCAATAGTATCCTTTTATCGCCCAAGCCTGCTGGTTAGTAACAGTGAGATGATACCATGCCAACAGAAGCAGTTGTTAACAGAGTGAAGAATGATGGACTGTACTTTGTCAGCTTGTCTTCTGGACAGGGTGGGGGGGGTTAAGGTAGGTCTGTCTTGACTTTCTTGGACACAGGGGCATCTCCAGCACTTTGAACTGATCTCTTTCCCTCTTTGGCTTGGCCCTTGCCACTCACAGCTTTTACCTGCAGGTCATTAACAACAGTCTTTACCTGAGATGATTAACATGGAGTTGACTGAGGAACACTAGAGGGGAGGACACTACAGTCTGAACACAAACAAACAGAAGCCTCCTTGTATCCCAGAGGCCCTTTTTGTACTCTTTCAGGACATTTTGTTTACATCTCTCTCTAAAATGCAGAACGGTCTGGAGGTTCAAATGGTAATCAACATAGGAAATCGCTCATATCTCCCCCAAGCTTGAAGGCGTAATAAGCTGTTAGCAGTGGCAATGACATGGTGGTTAAATAGAAAAGCTCTAGAGAGTCTCGGGACACTACAATGCTTATTTTTTCAGGTTCATATTTGTATTATGCGCCTCTACTGTGATACGTTATCTTGTATTCTCTAAAGTTAAACACATACTGTGAATGACTCCATTTAAAAAGATGTAATGCTTATACATTTTTCTAAACAAAGAGAGACTTTTTTTTAAATACCACTTTGAGCTGTTTTAAGAACACAAGGGCATAACTGTAGAAGTCTTACAAACTTACTTAGTGCAATCTAAAGTGAAAGAAATGTGGAAAAGGTTCAGTATTATCTTTGGTTAAAAAATCTAAACAAACTACTTACAGCAGTTAAAACAATTGAAGAGTATGATGCTCTACAACAGTGGTTCTCAACTGGTGGGTCGCGACCCTGTTTCGAGTGGGTCGCAGATGTGTGAGTGAAGAAAAAAAAGAGATTCCCTTTTTTTTTGCGGGGGGGAAAAAGTCAAACTTTTATGTTTGAAGGCCGATTTTCTAACGCTGTGCATGCAGTAGGCGTTGGACTGGAACTACTGGAGACCATGAACGATTTTGAAAACTTCTGTCACGTAGTGAACATCTTCTCAATAAAACATCTTTGCTGATGTTTTTTCGAGTCTTCTGGCCAATCAGAATCAAGATTGTTGCCGGAAGTCCCCACGGAGAATAACTTTGCGGTAGAACTATTCTTTATACATCCATGGGTACAACTTCAGATAAAAATGAACATATAATGAAATATGACCCCCGGTTTGATGATTGACAGGTCACAGAACAATGGGAGCTATCTACCCTTACCCACAATTTAAAGTAATTCACACAGACTATATCCTCTTTACTCTTCTCTCTGTGTGGAGCACCAAGTTCAGCTGTCAGAACAAAGTGAAAGACAAACAATGGCATAAAATATTATTAATATGTCGGGTAGTAATAGATTTATTTATTTTCTTCTCAGAGTGTACCACAATGGGTAGTTTATATGTTAGTATTTCAAAAAATCTCCTGGGGGAGAATCGCCCCAGACCCCCTTCTGGGGTTGGGTTTTCAGCACGTGGACCTTTTTAGGTTATTCAATTCAGCTTTGATTCCATCATCTCATTAAACCTTATTTAAAAGCATACTTTTGTTCTGTGAAGGGATATAAGGGATATATGCACTGTACTTCACTTTAATTAATAATGTATGCTGAAAAGAGTATATTACTGTACGATTTTTTGTTGGATAGATTTGAGTGGTTAAACATTTCGGGTCGCGATCTATTGACTAAGGAAAAAGTGGGTCCAGAGGCCTGACCAGTCAAGAACCACTGCTCTACAATACTACACAGTGGGAAACCTGCTTTGTGAATGATCACTGCGGCAGCATTTACTCACGGCAGATCCACTCGCTGTCGTCCTCATGTTCATCTTGAGTGTGTGTGTTTCGACCTTCAGCAGAGGAGCTTTGCGACCCAACTTCAAGTAGAAGTAGGTGGTGTACGGAGTGAAGCTGAAATCCTCTCTGAAGTCCACAGACAGAATTACTCACTCGACTAAACGGTCTCAAAAGACATATTTATAGTATACTATTTTTTTTTTCTTACCTGAGGTATCCCTGCAGCAACAGCCTCACTATCACAGCTTCAGCCTGCAGCCGAGGCAGAGTGGTGGTCTGGATCATCTTCCTGCGCTTGGCTGGTCCCTTCCCTATCCACGTCTCCACCACCTTCAGAGGAGTCAGCTTCTCATCCATTGACGTCGCTAATTCCACGATTTGCACCACCTGCTTGGCATGCTCGGTGATGTCCACTGTGGTGTAATCTACAGGGAACAAAGGTCAGATTATGACCAATTCAAAGAGAGAAAAGGGCTTTTTTTTACATCTCTAAAGAACACATAAAACATGAAGACATTAGCACCTTTTGCATGGCGGCAAGTATCACACATCTGGTTGCATCCTTCATCGTCCCAAATCTCATCGAAATGAACGGCCATGAGAGAGCGCCGACACCTTCACACAGCAAACATGCATTCAAGTCATTGTGCGTAAGCTATCGATCACACTATAAAAAGCACTGTGTGTTTTGGCGCGCTACCTGTCAACATTCTGGCAGTAGTCGACCATCTGCAGGAGCTTCTTCTGACCAACGTTCTCCATCACCACCATGGTGCTGATCCTGAAGATGTCGGAGAAGCCAAAGTACACGATGCAGTCTGCTTGGCGGTCGTCCCGGCCTGGAGACACACAGATTGAAATGTTGAGATAGAAAAATACCAGAGGAGAAGGAACAAGTACTCTCTCTGGATAGAATGGTGTGTACCTGCGCGTCCACTCTCTTGGTAGTAGTTCTCGATGGACTTGCTGATGGTGTGGTGGATGACAAACCGTACGTCAGGCTTGTCAATGCCCATGCCAAACGCCACTGTGGCCACCACCACCTAGAAAAGGCCAAAGCAATCGCATAACAGGAGTGGAAAAATGTGAAAAGCGTCAACTCGAGGGAGAAATTTGCGTCGTTTAGCTTCCCAACATATCTGGGACCACAACATGTCCAAAGCAGCAAAAGTGGTTACTTGGGTCATGGTTGATGAAAAGTTGTTGGTATCTACGTGGAGGTTAATCTGTGAGTGTTAAGCGAGTGACACAAGGCTAAAATGTGGCTCACGTTCAGTGTAAACATGCATGCACCAAGCAAATCATGGCTTGATTTAATTAAACAGAAAAAAAAACCCAACGAAAAGAAATACAGGTAGGTGTGTCATACCTGGATTTTGTTGGCGGTCCATTTGCGGTGAATGCGAGATTTATCTGCGGGCTCCATGTGAGAATGGTAGGGAAAAGCTATGATGTCGCTCTTCTGGAGTTCAGCCGACACCGACTCTGCATCCTTCTGAGAGAACACGTACACGATTCCTGTGGAGCACAAATAAAAAAATATATAAAGCCTTATTGCTGTTTATGTGAATAAATATACATCTTAATCCCTCTGTGGAACATATAAGCCTCAATGTGATGCATTAGATAGCGTCTTAATAGGCAGCAGTACCTGACTGATCCTTGTATTTGCTCTTGATCAGAGCAGCGATGTCACTTATTGATGCCTCATGGTTAGAATCTTTAATACGGACCTGAGGAACAAGCAAACTGTAAGTGTCACTGCAGCATTTTCAATGTTTTTAAAGGGTCTGATAGTTGTGTTAAGAGCTGCCATGGGTCCCACCTCGTAGTAGAGATTGGTCCGGTTGAAGGATGCGGTCAGTGTGGTGGTCTTTGGCACACACAGGATCTTCTCACAGTCCTTGAGGACGCTGCTGGTCGCTGTGGCTGTGAGTCCGAGTAGTGGCACTTTGGGGAACTGTCTCTTTAAGATACCCAGCAGTTTATAATCTGCACAGACAAACACAACATAATAATAAATACATACTGTAGAAGTTGAGAGAGAAACAAACTTTGTGTCATTCAGCTTACTAAATTAGCCTTGGAATGATTATATCCCCTCCTCCTCTCACCTGTTCTGAAGTCGTGTCCCCATTGGCTGCAGCAGTGCACCTCGTCCACAGCGATACGACTCAGCAGGTTTGCGTTGTAGGCTTTCTCCAATCGAGACATGAGCAGCTTGCTCTTGGCAATCTTCTCTGGAGTCACGTACAGCAGCTTGAAAGGGGCCTTCGGATCCGTCATTCCAGCCATGACGCTCTTGGCGTGCTCCTAAAAAAAAATGGTTATACATTTTGCTTTTTCATTTGTTTCAGATTGTGAGTTATAGATTTTACTCAGCCAAAAAATATTGTCCTTCGAAATGGCCTCTAATACTAATAATAAAAGCATTGGCCTCCAACAGGGGGTCCTCAATGTCATTTTTTAAACTATTTTTTCGGTGGAAATCCTTTTTCAGTTTTCAGGAAGATTAGTTAAGGAAGAGATCAACAGACTGAAGTGTGAGGTCAAATACAACCATCTGTTACCTTGCTACTGGACGCATTTAGCATGACTGCTGCCACATCGATGGAATTCAGGTACATGATCTGGTCCTCCATTAGGGACAGCAAGGGGGTGACAACCAGTGTAAAACCTGACACAAACATACATGTGATTTCAGAGTCAATAAGCAACATAATGATCTCATGTGTGTATCTCATGTGTGTGTCTCTGTACCGTTGGAGCAGACTGCTGGCAGCTGGTAGCAGAGGCTCTTCCCTCTCCCTGTGGGCATCACCAGGAACAGATCTTTGCCCGACAGAGTGAGGTTCATGGCCCTCAGCTGCAGTGGTCTGAACGTGGAGAGATGGAACGTGTCCTTCAGGTGCTGCTCCAAATTTTCAGACCATGGAAAATCTACCAAACATTTAAAAGGTCACCTATTATACAAAATCCACCTTTTCATGTCTTTTATCCATCAACATGTGTCCCCTCTGTGTGTAGAGATTCTGAAAGTGTCAGGAAAAAAGATTCGCTCACTTTTTGTCCTGATCCATTTCTATAAAAACCTGTCTGAAAATGAGCTGATCAGATTTTGGCCACTTTATGATGTCATAACGATTTTTGTTGGCTTGTGTAGCCATTAGCCAATCACCAATCAAGGTAAGCAGCAATTTTGAAACAGGGCTGAAACAGAGGGGATTATGGGATGCTACAATGGGTGATCTGTTTGGTATTTCAGCCAAACACTTCAGGGACATTTATTTTTTTGTATATATCTGAGACCTATAATATATTGAAAAACAGTATAATAGGGGAAAACAGAGACAACCCACTGCCTTATGGAATCTGAATTGTATAGCCATGTGTGTAGAGTACCTGTGCCGTCATATAGCAGCATCTCCTGCTTGCTAATAACAGAAGTGGCTCCAGATGACTTTGAGGAAGACGATGATGGCTGTGCGGCATCACAGGCCTCCTCCAGCTCCTGCAGCAGGGCATTTTTCCGTTCATTCAGCTCAGCTTGCTTCTCCTGGAGATCGGAGATCTGCAGCTCCACCAACTCCAGCTCTGACTCCACAGAGTTCAGCTCCTGCTGCACGTCTAAAAAGGTACAAACACACCAGGAAAACAGTTAATGAGTTACGTTAGAGCCAGTATTTTGTTTTTATAAGGAAGGCCACCTAATCGTGACGTCTGTAGTCAACTGAGCATTAAAGACTACAATTCCCACGGCGCCTCTTCGAAAGTGACAGTGATGGGCAACCTGTTAGAAAGACACCGTCGAGGCACAATCAACCACCATTTAACAAGCCTTAACAAAGAAAGAAAGCAAGAAAGAATACCTAGGTTGTTTGTTATTTTATTGGAGTTTAGCCTCTTTGTTTTGACTATTGTATTTCTTTGTTGCATGTGTAAAAAGTTTGTTATTTTATTTTGAGCATTGCACAACATCATCCCACTATCGGAGTCCGAGCAACTCATCAACTGTAAGTAACACAAATATAAAGGAAGAAAACGATTTACAAATGTCTATTTAAGGCTTGATAGAAATAAGGAAGGAAGCCACGACAAGTTGTAAGTATGAATGGAAATAAGATGCAAATGCAGTCTATTTACTGTGACTATTTTTCTGAAACAGTGTCAAAACGTACAGAGATTGTTTATGTTTTAAAACAACATATAGGTGTGGATGCCTCATTAGCATTATCCTGATGGTGTGAAGAGGGAGGTGTCTGTCAGGTCTCACACATGATCACACCTCCACAACTAATGATCTCATTTCAATCTCTCTGTCCCTCCCCCAGCGTCCCTTCAGAGGCAGGGTGTTGTCTTTCAGCGGGCCCCGTGAAACCACGACATCTCATGCAAAAACAACTGCAGGATTAACAAAGGAACCGTGTGCGGGTTCACATCTTAGCACTCTTTAGTCTGAGGTTCGGCAAATGTTCATGCATATTCTGTTTCTGACCTACCATTAGTTCCTCCACCACAATCCATATTTGCCAGACTGATATTGCTCAGGAAGGAGCCAACCAGACTGTCAGAGATGTTGAAAGGATTCCCTGTAAGACATAGACACATTCAACAAAAACATCAGTTTTCAAATCCACTTTTTATTAATGTTTCTGAATGAGCCATACTCTGGGTACTACTAACCATTTAGCAATGTTCTGATGGCACCTTGACTCTCGTTGAAGGATCATGTGAATTAATATCCCACAACTAATGGAAGTTAGATATAATATTAGTTAGATTCTAAAAAGCTATTATGGCCGTCATCAAGTGAAACATTGACATGCTATGTATTTATCACTGCCAGTTCACCTATGAAGGCAGTTTAACCTGAAAAAAAATAACCAAAGTTACATCTAAACTTACTCAATATTTACGTTAGGTAGTTAGTTAAAATGCAACTGGTTCATCCAACTTAGCTGTTTAATGTTAATTGTACCCTACCCTCACAGCGACATTAGAGCATCCTGTTTAACCGACTTCAACACTCATGCACCTGCCAGCTTCTCCAGATAACTAAATAAAGCTTGACTACTTTCAACGTTTCCCCTCTGTTATGTAGGCAACATTAGCTCATTTCATACGCCTGGGATAAGCCATTTAAAAAGCAAAAAGTACGTATGACTAACCATTCAGCAACTTCCATTCGTGGGTGTAAAAGAGCCTTCTTGTTGGTGAATCCACTTCACGGTTGCTATAACAGACCGCCTTTGGAAAGTCTTCTTCTTCTCTCGATTTAATGGCAGATCGCACACACCTTAAAGTGCATACCGCCACCTAGTGTACAAGACAGTGCATTATATTTGTCATTTTCCTCATGGATGTGTGTGGATGTGGATCTGTATTTTGTTTTAATATTATATGTGTTTTTTGTATTACTAAATATGTCTACCCCACATGTTTTTGTATACAAAATATATGATGTTCATATATGTTCTTGAATAAAAAAAATATATAATGATTAAAACAATTATTCTTACCATCCCTTTCATTAAAAACAGTAAACAGTGCCTTCCTGGTATATCTTACGCTTTCTTCTTCTGTAACCACTATCCTTGTCAAGTTAAACTACAATTAGCTTTTCAATTTCTGTGTCATACATGGTGCAATTTTATAAATGTTTTCACATTTTCTTTAACTCGACAGTTCCCACTTCCCACACTTTCCCCTTTGACTTCCCCACAGAAGGAACATAGTGCCATTTCATTCTTCTCAAATCTAATCAACGTCCTTCTTTCTGTTCCATTCTTGACCCTTTATATAACTGCCTTTTGTAATTTGACTCTATGCTTCCTAAGATGAATATTGAGTCAGAGTTCTCTTTATAAACCCATGGCATAATTATATGTATTGAGATAAGCAGATCCATTCAAACCTTTGTTGCTCCCATTCATTTCTATCCATCCAGCTCAAGCCCAAACCCCAAGTCTGAGTGTGCTGCGTTCAAGACCCACGTTCAGTAAAAAATGACATTACCTTTCGAGAGTTTAGATGTTTCTTCTTTTTTGTTCATATCTATTAGTATGCAACCCAATATGTGTTTTTTAATAGAATATTAGATTTATCACATATGCACACACTATTGCAAATTATGAGATAGAGTAGATAGAGTTGCAAAGTGGTTGTTTGAGTGTTTTTCATATTCCTTTCAGCGATATAAGGATTTTACATGAGTGTTACATGCAGTAGGTGGTCAGGTCCATAAACTGTATTAAATAGTTCATTCACACTGTGGCAAAAACTACTCGTAGGCCTACTTTTACTTTCAGTGGCTTCTCACACTATGCAACAATATGAACAGCGAGAGTGTCGTTGAATGCGACACGGCGCTCTTCCGGAAGATGACATCGCGAGAGGGTGTGTTTCCGGAAGACGTGGCTGTTGCTGCAGAGGCAGCTGTCATCTAAATTGTTCTCAGAAGAGTACTTGAATGTTACTTTAAATATTATCTATTTATAGTGTATATTAACCTGTTTATTCACCGTCAAGATGATTTCGCTAACGGACTCCCAGAGTAAGACTTCTTGATATTTAAGCATCTATGAATTCAAGCTGTAGCTGTGAGTTAACTAGCAATTAGCATTCAGTGCAAGGAAAGTAAGCTTACATTGTCCCCATGGCATTCCATTACCCATGGCCCACAAAGCTAAATGTTAACTCCTACTACTATAACAAGCTGTTGATTAAAAGTAACACACGTTCATGTTGTATTTCCGTATCTCTAAGTTTGACTAGCTTGAAAGGAAAGTGAACAATGGAGGTCCAGCTCCAGTGAAATTACCAGAGGTGGAGGAAGTACTCAGATCTTTTACTTAAGTAAAAGTAGAAGTACCAGAGTTTAGTAATACTCTGTTACAAGTTAAAGTCCTGCAATCAAAATGTTACTCAAGCAAAAGTACAAATGTACATAAAGTAATAAGAGTAAAATCACTAATTTCGCAGATTGGCCCATTTCAGAATAATATATATATGATATGTTTGATTTTAAGGATTGATGCAGCTAGCTTGAATGACTTGAGGCAGCTTGTGAATTTACTCGAGGTATAACTAAAGTCTGATTTAAGTGTTGAATATAATTCAAAACAACAATACAAATCTGCAAGTGAGCTAAAGGTAAACAGTCCATTACATGCAGAAAAATGGCCATGGTGTCAAATAATGGCCAGTCATATTTCAGCTTCATATTCCAAATCTATGCTTATGTAACAATATCTGACAGCAGAGTGTAACCTTCCTGTTGTGTGTATTTGTGTTGCAGAGATTGGAATGGGATTAACAGGCTTCGGCGTTTTTTTCCTCTTCTTCGGGATGATTCTGTTTTTTGACAAAGCACTCCTGGCTATTGGAAATGTGAGTGTATTCATCTCATTGGACTGATATCATATGTCTTAGAAACAGGTTTCACCTAATTTCTTTGCATTAAATCCACCAGCTGAGCCGTCAAACTGACATATTCTTTAAGTTTTGCTGCACTGATCAAATGAAGTTTCCTCTCCTCCAGCTTTGCCGGTCTCACTTTTCAAAAAGACCACTCTCTTCCCCCTTTTTCTCCGTAGATCCTGTTTGTTGCTGGACTTTCCTTTGTCATCGGGCTGGAGAGGACCTTCCGGTTCTTCTTCCAGAAACATAAAATTAAGGCCACCAGCTTCTTCTTGGGTGGTGTGCTGGTGGTTCTGATCGGCTGGCCCATCATCGGAGTGGTGCTGGAGATCTACGGCTTTTTCCTCTTGTTTAGGTACGAGGGAACAAAGAGGGAACAAAGCATACTGACAATACTAGCATGCTTTAAGACTTGTTTGTCGTGTACCTCCTTTCATTAACTATCAACAGTATAAAGCAACACATAATACAGGCATTTTAATGTTAAAAGCAAATCATTTATATTCGTGCTTATATAGATGTTGTTAATTTAATTGTGTTGCATTTCTCTGTTTCATGCAGTTATCTTTATTAGAATGCTTACTAACTTCTCTTTCTTTGCTTTTATCTCTTCCTCTCATTCGTTCTCTCTCTTGAACTCTCCTCACATCCAGGGGTTTCTTCCCAGTTATAGTGGGCTTCATCAGAAGAATACCAGTCCTCGGCTCCATCCTGAACCTTCCCTTCATCAGCGCAGTACGTATCACCCGGCACTGCTGCCCCCCTGCAGCTCTGCCCTGTTTACACGTAGCATGGCTTTTCCTGTTTATTATTTACCCTGTTCAAACAATGCGTCCTCTAAAGAATAAACAAATGCCCCCCCCCCCGATCCAATAATAGCTTAGCTCCTACAGCTGCTTTAATGAAAAGGTACTGTGAGTTGGTGTGGATTGGTTATCCACTTGAAGGAGGACTTAAAATCGGAGTAAACGTTTCCGGAATGTCTATTTCTGAATTGCTATTTCTGCTAAGGGGTGTTTTGTAAATGCTGTGATGTCAGGGTTGTCATGGCATTAACTCTAGAGGTTCAAATGCATGAGGTCCGCAACGACTGCCACTTTTAACTCTAAAACTCCTAGGTTTAGCCTGCTTGTGGCTGATGGATATGCTGCGACTGTGCTATTGTGTGGGAATATTTGTTTTGAGGTGTCTCTGTCTGTGTGTTTTCATTAAAGCCTTCGTAAGGCTCTGAGGACAATCAGCAGCTGTGGTCAGTCACTGCCGATATTTCCCTTGCATGCTTACATTTTTATTAACATTTGACTATATTCATTAAAAACGTGATAGAAGGGAAAGCTTTTGCTCTTGCTTAGGAAGCTGATAATCATTGTTTAACAATATTTTAAAATCATATTTGGCTCTAAAGGCACACATGATAGGTAAAACAAGTTTCACTGAAGTCCAAGTTGTCCCTTTAATGATAAATTCATTATATTTGCAGTGGAAGCAAATGTTGTCCGGCAAAATAGGTTGTGTTGGAAGGTTGATTGCATAGTGACTGTTAACAGGTCCAGTTGTTGATCTAATATAGCTGGCAAAAGGGTTGTAACAGTACACCGTGATATTACAATTGACAGTCATACGGGTCAATCTGTGTGAATTATTCCAATTGGTAAATAACAATAGAACCAAAAATGGCAGGAATTGATTCTGTTTGTCCTGTTTACCTGTTGTGTGTCCCTTTTTAGTCCTGCATGCCTTCCATTATAAAATGCTAAATGATAAGGATAGTGGTGTCACACTAACATTTTGTATTTCTTTGAGCGCTCACAGGTCTGTGGCAAATCATGTTTGTTTGTTTTAAACCAGAGAAGCTGAAAAGCAACAAGATGATGCTTACGACTGTTTCTCTCTTTCCTTTCAGTATGTGGACAAGGCGGGAGAAAGCAACACCATGGTATAACAGAGACTCTTTTTACCCAGAGAAGGTTATTTGAGAACAGTAGGTTTTATAAAGCATCACAATCTCATGAAATTCCCCCCCCCACCCCTGCCGCAGCCAAAGACTTTCTGTCTGCAATTTCCCTTGTCAGTGCTACCAATCAAAGGTTCATCAGAGCGTGGCACCACCAGTCTGTTACTAAAGGGTGGAGTTACTAAGGTCACTACAATAAATATTCCAAAAGCTATCGATCCTTTCACTGTTGAGTGCATCTGGCACGAAAATGGAAGATGGAAGACTCCTTCAAAGCACCATCGACTCGGTCTACATGACTCTCTTACACTGTGGAAAAAAACTGTCAAGCATACTGATGTTCCACAAGGACGAGAATTGGACATACAGCTTGCCATGTTGCAACATTTCTGTGCCTGTGCTTTGAATTTATTTGGACAAAAGTCCTGCTTCTTGCAGATTTTCTGTGACATTTGGTCTTTTTTCTTTTCACAGCTGTTTAAATACCAAGTGTGGCTTTTGTTATATTTTCCTTTTGTTACATGTCATTTCTGATTACAGTTGGCTAATGATTACTTAAGCATAAATGATTTTTCATCTAATGATCAGTGCTTTACTTCATCTCTAGTGAGGTGCTTTGGCATCATACTAGAATATTTTTAGAATCGTATTGTTACAAATTAAAGTCTGGTCACAACAGAAAGAGGCACCACCCAATTTGAGATGACACATGGAAGGTGAATTTAATCCAGTTGGTGCTAGAAGCTTTGTGATGTAGTGAATACTCATGAGGCTAGCTAGCAAACTACTGTAGCTGTTTAGCTAACGGCTAACACAATAGCTAGCCAGGTACATGCTGTCACAAAAGCTATCTAAGCTAGCCACTTTGCTAACTGTCAGTAGCAAGCAAGCTTAGTCATTAATAGGATAATACTCAGAGTTCAGTTTATTTAAGAAAGGTGTTTTATTTAAGAAACATTTTTGTTCCAACCTCTCCTGTTCATTACTGCACACCATTGATGTTTAAAGAGTAGTTTTTATTCCAGAAGAGCAGGGTTGTATGAAAGTCAAATTCTGTCAAACTTTATCTTTTTAAAATGTTTGCAGACTAAATGTTTCAGGTCAATTTCAACTTGGGTCTTGGTAGAACCAAAACCAAATGTATCCCATAATGGATTAACACTTAAAAACTGGTATGATCCTGATAGATCTCTTTAAGAATTCACACATTAAACTCATCACTGAATGTATATGATCAAACTCTTTTACAACCTGGGAACTTCCACTCTGAGGCACCTTTACGTGCTTGTGAACCTACAGACCTTTTATATCTAAATGTTATCAGGTCTTAGAGAACCCATTTGGGGGTAGAGTCCTAGCTATCCACATTCATTTGCTTCTTTGGTTTTTTAAAACAAATTCTTCAGCATTGCAGACATCAGTCACCACAACCCAGGAGCTGAATAAATGGACTATTTAACTGTGTTTTTCTGTTGGGAGCATCCAAATTGAAGTTAGTGAAATGACGATGTATGTATGTATGGCACTTTTGTTGTAAATATACTATGGAAGTAAGCTTTCTATCTGCCATCAATCTTGTTTCTGGTTGTTTATTCCTGTCCTGTTAGTGACCACCTACACACACACTATGAATCAGGTTTTTCAACATTCACATTCATTGCATATTTCAAACAATATATTTCTCCCATGTAAGCTTCTCTGCAATGGCTCCCTGGAAAATGCAGAATATAATTGAAAATCGTCCTCAACAAAAAAATCTCTCAATCGTCAGACACCATCTTATTTAAAAAGAGCTCACAGTACCCTATTCCCCAACCACAAAGACACTCTTCCAGAATACAGGTTTCTTTGTCACCCTCTCTACACTTAACAGTAGGCTTAAAGAGCAACTTGCAGGTTTTTTTTTTACTACATTTATGCTTAACCTTGCCTGAAAATTACAATTAAAAATGTTAATGCAGGATTTGATATGTTTTACAAGACATAAGGGCAGGAATTCAGAGGAAAAGGAGCCGTTTTGAGCTCTGCTACTAAAAACTGCTTTTTTTTAACGTCATACGTCAAACGCGTCATATTACGTCACATGGGGGAGCAACTTTCTCGGACTCGTTCTCTGCCCAATCCGCGGTAGTAGTTTGTAGTTGGTTTGAGCGGTTGTGATTTAGTGAGCTGGTATTTTTTCGGTAATTTTACATTGTATTTCACCATTTGTAATCATGGTGAGCTTGTGTTTGTGCAGGTTGCACAAACTCCAGCCTGTCAGGACATTGAGTTCACAGTTTCCCTCACGGGTAAAGCACCGGAGTTAGCGTTCGTTCCTGGGTGCGTTGTGCATCCACCTCCCTGCAGCACATACTCCGTCTCCACAGCTTTATCAGGAAACCATATTACATCTCTCTCCCCCCCCTTCGCTGCTTTCTCTCTCTCCCCCCTCCGGTACACGGCACCGTAAGACGTAGTGTGCAGTTGCATTACAGTAGGTAACTCTGTGGTGGCTGTACTGCTCCAGGCGTCTCCGGTTATGGCTAGAAAGGATCCGTCTAATGTAAATATGACGTCACGTTCTCGTTCTAACTCTCGTTGTAATAGGTTTAAGATAACCTCAACTTTACTTTGACACGGTACAGTGTATCCTAACCTTACCGTGACTAACGACACAAAAACACTTATATCCCTCTACCGTTTTCATTTACTATGAAACAAGAATGGATTTCTAGATACGGAGGAGAGCATGGGAAGACGAGGAGCAGCGTAATCTGAGAACCCTGAATCGAAAATTTTAGACAAGTTCGACAGGAGCATCAACCTTAGAGTACTGGAGTTCGAAATATTGGGTGGGCCGGACTTTTTCCCACAATGCTACCGACCAATGACTCTCCCAATACCAGGAGAAGCACGGAAAACACAAACCCCGTCGGCACTTCCACTCTCCTTCCTGATGAGCAGTACACCCCCACAACGAAATGGCAGGAGGTTTTCTAAGTAATCAGGAACTATAGTGACATGTGGTACTTGCAGAGTAGGAACAACCCACCATACACCGAGTCATTAAAGGTGTTATATCCAGGTGTGACGACAGCAAAGGATCTACAATCTTGCTGCAGAGAAGAGCTAGAAGGCGCTAGAAGGCGCAAGGGCGGGTGGGCTGGGAAAGCTAATGTCGG